GCAAACTTGAAGGGGTGTTTTTCTAGATTGGGGCTCGAGGTTCTCGTGAACGGTCCGTGGGAACGTTGAGCGTTTCACTAGAATGTTTCGTGCATGCGTTGCCTTGTCATCGGCTCTGAGTGATCCCATGGACAGTCTGGTGATCTGCCGACGGTCTGGTGATCTATCGGACAATCTGTTCCCTCGACAGAACTTATGTGTGATTCATGTGTTCTTGGTGTTCTTGAGTGGGAGGCTAGGGTTTGTTAGGGTTTTTAGTGATTACCTTGGAGTATTTGGGTGGTGTACAACCTAGAGATAACTTAACTTTAGGAGTTGGGTGACCCTTTGCCACCAAGAACATGCTTATGACTTTCTCCATCTTGCTTCCAAGTGAGGGAGATGGATTTGAGCAAAATCAAGAATTTCTTGCAAAAATTCACATATCTTCCATTAGAGAGAAATTCAAGAAGTTCATGAGATGGTTGAGTGAGAGAGAGGTTTGAGCTTACACTTGAGATGATGGAGTTGCTGGCCATATCCTTTTTCCACTCATGCAAGATGAAATCAAGATTAGGGTTTGGGTTTATTTTTGGGAAGAAATGAAAAGGGATTTCTTCAGCTCACCCAAGGGTGAATTTGGTGGTTAAGATCTTCATCTTCTCCTTGAGATGGTCATGCTTGAGCTTGGCTCGATCTTCTCTTTGTTTTCTTCTTTTCTTTATCTTCCTCCTCTTCCTTTCTCTCTCTAGTTCTTGCTTGTTCTTGTTTTCTCCAACTTTGAGGGGGGAGAGAGAGAGACGAGAGTGAGTGGGGGAGCTAAACTAGATAGTTGGAAATATCCACTTTGAGCTTACAAGTGGGGCAAAGGTGGAGGAGAAGTGGAGAGCTCATCCAAACTGATTATGCTGACTAAGTGATCTCACGGACGGTCCAATAGAACATAGATTATGGGATATTGAATTTGGAGAGGAGAGATTGGTATTAGGATCATTAATTTACTTTATAGAGTTGGTATAAACCACTCTAAGTTTAGATATCATTCTTTCGAGTGATAGTTTGGAGAATTTAATAAACTCAACCTTTGAGTTGACCATGGTTGACCCTATTTGACTTGGTTTGATTGGAGAAGATTAGGTGAATCGAGAAGCAAATTTGAAGTCCTTGTCTTATATGAGATAAATCAAGGTTTCCCATTGAACTGATAAGGCCGTCTATTGTCAGAGAAGAGCTAAACCAGAACTAAGGCTTGGTGCCATGGTTGACCATGTTCATGATCCAACATATAGTGATGTGTACCGAAGGTTCAAATCAGGATTCAGGGAGAGGTTGGTGAAAGTTTTAACCTCTAGGGGTGTGTTTCTGAAAAGTTTAAATTGGAACGACTGTTGGGTCGTGATAGGAAGAGGCTTGGCAAACGACGTCTGGTAGAGCATATCCACCCCAGGCAAGGGGGAGAGACATGGGACATGGACGTACACTACCATCATTATTAATTGGAGGGACTGGACGAGTCGACAAGATTGACCCAACACAAAGGCAACACCATTTGCGACACGCGGAGACTATGGGAAGGATGAGACATCCCCTAGAGAAGAAGATGGGTTAAATGGGGAAAGGTAGAGATTTGGCTAAAAAATGGGTAGGTTTATATTAAGAAGTTTAGAGCATGGAGAGGGAAAGGGGGTTGGGCGCGCGAGAGCGCAAAGGAGGTGCGACCGCATAAATGTGAGTGCCCCCAAATGGCCTAATTGCTAGGAAAGGAATTGATGGAACTAGTGTGAGTAAGATGTTTACTCATTGTTCTACTGCAATAGTGGTGAGTAGATTTGTTTTCTCAAATTGTTGCTAGATGCTAGATTCTAGTTGCTTCCACTAAAGGGAAAAGTAGAGGAAGAACACAACTTTGCTAGAGCACACATGTGAACCACTACTACAGAAAGTTGATCATTATCAGCTCTAGAACCCTTTTCACTAACGATTTTCCCTTAGGTAGTGAAAATGGACAACGATAATAAGCTCCATCATCATCTATTTCAATCCGGCGATGAAAACAATGATCCATACCGGCTCGTTATACAAACTGACAATGATAATCAGAAAAAAACAAATAATATGCTCCAGTGTTATGAACTCACTCACACGCCACCATGGCCATCGCTCAGCTCGCACATGCGTCGTCGTCGCACTCGCATCCATGTGGCTATGGCATTAGGGGGGCGCCTACCGGGGGCCGCACACCATGGACACCTCCATGGCCGCCACCTAATGGGCTAATGATCTTGCGCACGCGACACCATGGATGTCGTCTAGCTCGTGCATGCACCAAGGGCTAGGTGTCGGGGGTTGTGTCCGTGTGTCAGGGGACTGCTGTAGAGGAGCCACCACAGTAGGTCGCCCACCGCCGCGGACTCGCGGGAAGGGAGAGGGATCGAGGGAGAGAGAGAGCGAGAGAGGAGAGATATTTCTTCACTCACTGGGGGGAGAGATGAGGCGGTGTGCCGTGGGACCCGTGTGTGATGCCCTGCTAGCTATTCAGGGGTGGCACACGCCACAAGCACAGCCCCACTCTGCCACCACCCACGTAAAACACAAAGCAATGGGAGATGAGTGCAGCTGCTATGGGGATTTCACTGTTGGGTCGGTCTATCTCCGAACCGGCGTTTGTCCGGCCGCTATCAAAACTATCCTGGTTTTCACCGCTGGTTCTTGCCCGAGCCAGCAGCGGTGAAAATACCGTTGGAGAAAACCCTTTTTGTAGTAGTGAGCTGCAATACACTTAGAGGATGGACACTTGGTATATGGTGCAAAAGCATTGAGCTCATACAGAGTTTGATGTACAGAGCAGATACGCTGAAAAGGAAAGGGAGATGCGGTGAAACTTCCTGCGAAACAAGTGGTATAGCCGTGCAACAAGTACAGTGTTTACATGGACAGTTAATGAGACAACAATCAAGTTATGCGAGTTCCTTGATGTTATCATGATCTTGAAAAGGATTGCATTTTTTTGATTGGACGACGGTAATCAAGCAATGCAAGTCCCTCTCTTTAACAGCTTGCATGCGATTCTCATCTTCAGATCTTGTTCCTCAACTATACTTGGGGACTTTTTAATAAGGTAGGAATAGTGGTCAACTTACTAAGTTTGGTCAGCGCTACTAACTATAAGAGGGGATAGAATATTTTAGGAATAATGATAATGATCGTTCCAGAAATAAACGTAATTACTATTTTTTGTCAATTATAACTGTCTGTGAAGGGCTTGCATGTCATATTCTGGACAAAAGAGCAGTCCGGAACTAACTAGGTCAGTTCCATTGTTGGCACAATGAAAAAAAGGATCTACTACACTCATCCAGAATGTACCATATGCAACGCAACAAGCACGTATTATTGATAACTTCGGTAATTTTATGCCTGGCTGGTGTCCTGTTCATATTAATATTAAGTGAAAACAGTTACATATTGCTTTTGGCTGGATTGGTGCCTTTTCAGCAGCTGTATGTAATAAGGATATAAATACAACTCGGTGTCCACAGGGCTATATTCTGCTGTACTACTTCAGCAGTATTTTTCAGCGAACGAACAGTATTTTCCTCTCATAATATTTCAGCATAAGCCAAATTTCAGCGAAACAAACAGGCCATCGTTGATCTTTGGCAAAGATGTAAACTATACCTTGTACACTTTACCTTATACACTTTTACTGCATAAGGGCAGCTTCTGGGCAATAAAATGTGGGGACTCCCCCGCCCTACTACAGCCTAAGTATATAGGAATAGAAACTACTCCCTCCGTCCCAAATTATAAGTTATTGTAACTTTCTTGGAGAGTCAAAGTATCTCATATTTTATCAAAATTATAGAGAGAATCACAAATATTTATGACATCAAATAGGTATACTATAAAAATATAATTAATAAAAAATCTAATGATACTTATTTGATATCATAAATATTATTATTTTATTATATAAATTTGTTCAAACTTAAGATACTTTGACTCTTCAAGAAAATTGAAATGATTTATAATTTGGGACGGAGGAAGTAATTGAAATTATACACGCATTTTGTTGAGCCTCCCAAATCCCAATATCTATTGTCAGCTGTATCATCCATATTAATTTACCAACATTTGTGTTTAGAAAAAAAATCACATATGTCATTGATAATATTGTCCACAAGAAAGTGCAAGTTGTATCTACATTCTGGGGGGGTCTACCAGACAGGGATGCAAGACGAGTTACCCGCAAATAGGCTAATATTTTGTGATTACCCTCAAACCCGCAAAAAAGTAGCCTATTTGCGGGTTCACGGACAACCCGCCTTGCATCCCACTGTCAGATATTATAGGCTAATTGTTTCTTCAACATTTCTTTTATTTTGAAGAGGAATTATACCTGCATTCTGTTGAGCCTCCCAAATCCCAATATCTGTTGTCAGCTGTATCATCCATATTAATTTACCGACATTTGTGTCTAGAGAAAAAACAATATGCCATTGATAGTATTGTCCACAAGAAAGTGCAAGTTGTATCTGCATTCTGACAGGGGGTTTTCTGTCAGATATTATAGGCTAATTGTTTCATCCGACTGGATTTACCAACATTTCTTTTATTTTGAAGAGAAATTATATCATATAATAAGCCATTGACTGTTTTTTTTTCCCACAGGAAACTACAAAGTGTGAATGTATAGCTAGCTTGTGATATAATTATGGACACGCAAGGACATTTTTTTTCCGGCCAATGAATATGCGCCAAGTACGCAGTGGCAACACAATGCAAGGCGTGTAAGCTGTCGAGGCCAGCAAGAGACAAAGGGGCCTGGCACCGAGAACACCGTCGCCTGCTGTCGTTTTCAGCGATAGATGGAAACAAGGACGAATACCCGTCCCTGCCATCTGTTCTCAGCTGCATATAAACATTCACACGCACGTAGGAGCGGAGCTACCTCCCCTTAGGTTCCAAAGCACAACACCTAGCTACAGGCTAGCCTTCTGAGTTCTGATCTGGTGGTCGCCATGGCAACCTACGGCCTGCAGGTGAAGGATGAGCTCCACGGCGGCGGCATCGGCATCGGCATCGGCATCGGAGGGGGAGGAGGAGGAGGAGGGCAGGGGCTGTACTGCGGTGCTACGCCGACGCCGGCGCCGCCTCCTGCGGCCACCGGCGGCGGCGGGGACGGTGGTGTGAAGAGTAAGAGGAGCAGGAAGAGGGAGCCGTCGTCGTCCCTGGTGACGATGAGCAACGGCGGCGGCAAGGACGAGGCGGTCGCCGGCGGCGGCGACAAGTCGGCGAGTAGCAACAGTAACGCGACCAAGAGGAGCTCAAGGTTCAGAGGCGTTAGCAGGTAATTAAGCGCTATTTGTGCTTTTATTTGTATAGAGCAAAGGGCATGCATGTACCGATGTACATGTTGGTCTGAGCGTACGTGTTTGATCGAGAACGTTGCATGTTGCTACGTACATACACGCAGGCATCGGTGGACGGGCAGGTTCGAGGCGCACCTGTGGGACAAAGGGACCTGGAACCCTACGCAGAAGAAGAAAGGGAAGCAAGGTACGTAGTAGTTCGTACAAAATAGAGCTTGAACAAGATTTATACATGTCGATCTTTTGTATGACACGTACGTACACGATGTTGAACAGTTTACCTTGGAGCGTACAACGAGGAAGACGCGGCAGCAAGAGCCTATGATCTGGCAGCGCTCAAGTACTGGGGACCTACCACCTACACCAACTTTCCGGTACGTCGTATACTCGTATGGTGTGGATCAGAGTTTACGAAATTAAGGTATGTACAAAAAATACACAATAATAAGAAGAGTGCCGTAGGGAAGTTGTAAATGATTCCGGCCAACAAGAAACAAATTTGCACTAGATGACTGACATACTGTTAGATCTCCTGTTCCGTGACACTGTTCTCTGCCCGGCATAGGAAATTAGGAACTCTGTCGCAAATTCTCCTTACAGAGTTTGATATCCAAAAGTTGTAGCTCAGTTGACTCAGTTGGTGGTCACCCCGTCGTGAGAAGCCCTAGGTTGGGAGTTCGACTTCCCAGCTCCGCATAGAAAAAATCACTTCGTCTGTCCTACACTAAAGCACAAGTCTAAGATCCGGCCTAATCTCATGTGGGCAGCAGTGCTGTTGTGTATGAGTAGGACAGATGTTTGGGGATTTTATCGCAGGTTGTCTACCCCGCGGATCGATTTTTTTTTTATATATCCAAAGTTGTAGAAGGAAAATCCTATATATATCTTGTACAACCATCAGTACTAACAGTTGTAGAAGGTACTTTTGAGAACAGTCCAAATAAAATTTCTAAGCAAGCTGTATATATGTTATATAAAAATAATTTTCAGATTTCGAGCATTGTGATCAATATATGATTTTTGTACATCCGGCAGGTTGTGGACTACGAGAGAGAGCTCAAAGTGATGCAGAATGTGTCCAAGGAAGAGTACCTTGCCTCCATAAGAAGGTGAGCATACACTCCTGTATATGCAGTTATGCACCAACTGTACGTGCTCCACAGCTAGCTCGCAAAAAGATCCAAAGAGTGAATATTGTTTTTGTTTCCACCCATGGCAAGCAGGAAGAGCAACGGCTTCTCCCGCGGAGTTTCCAAGTACAGAGGCGTCGCACGGTACGTACGGACGCCCGCTTGTCCGAATTCCGATCGACTAGCCACGCCTCGCCGGCCGGCATGCATCCATGGCCACCGGTCGCCTGAACGCACGCACGTGTGATTTGGCACGCAGGCACCACCACAACGGCAGATGGGAGGCTCGGATCGGCCGGGTGTTCGGCAACAAGTACCTGTACCTGGGCACGTACAGCACGCAGGAGGAGGCGGCGCGCGCCTACGACATCGCCGCCATCGAGTACCGCGGCATCAACGCCGTCACCAACTTCGACCTCAGCACCTACATCCGCTGGCTCAAGCCCGGGCGGCGGCGGCGCCGTCCGCGGCGAGGACGCCGGCGCCGGCACCCCTGACGTCGGGCGTCAGGGGCCGGGCATACCGCCGGCATCGTCGCTGTCCCTACAGGCCGGCGGCCTCCTGCAGCACCCGCACGGTGCCGCGGCCGGCATGCTGCAGGTCGACGTCGTCGACGATCTCTACCGCGGGCACCTGGCAGCGGCGCGCGGGGCTGCGTTGTTCCCGGGCGGCCTCGACGACGTGGGCTCCGTGTACGCCGCAGGCAGTGCAGGGCCCAGCCCGACGGCGCTGTGCGTCGGGAGGCCGTCTCCGTCTCCGTCGCCGTCGCCGTCGTCGTCCACCACGGCGCTCAGCCTGCTGCTGCGCTCGTCGATGTTCCAGGAGCTCGTGGCGCGGAACGCTGGCGGAGACGCGCAGCAGCAGCAGCTCGTGCTCGCGGGCCAAGGGGCAGTGTCGCCGCACGTCGTCGTTGACGCCAAAGTTGAGCAGCACGACGAGCCGGAGGCGGAGGGCGAGCTGGGCCACGGTGGCGAGCTCTACGGCGCGGTGGGGGCGGACGAGGACGAGGACGCGTTGGCATGCTCCATGTACGAGCTCGACGACAGCTTCGCGCGCATCGAGCAGTCGCTTTGGGGCTGCCTACGATCATCGGATGGATCTGATCTCAATCTCTGATCCCAAAATGTGTCCACAATGGCTATGGCTCGGAACTCGAGCTTCACTTCTTCAGTTCTTCTGCAACAAATGGGGAGAGAAGAGAACAACTAGCTAGCTGCGAATGAGTAGCTAGCTGGAGTACAGAATGTTAGGAGCTGGGTGCGTGAGGTGTGAAAAATGGAAGAGTACATGGTGTGCGTCAGTTATCAGTTTCTGTGGATTTCGGTCGTCGTAATTGTTCCATAGCTAATCGGAATGACACATTCAAATATGTGTGAAATTGATAGGTACATATACATACACATGCATTGTAGAGTAATAATAATAATACCAGCAAACTTACCCGTACGTTATAACAGAACATATAGATTGTCATGTGGTCACCTGCTGAATAATTCGCGCCTCACCTATTTATTCAACAGTTGCATCGGTTGTTTCAATACATCTTGGAATCGGGCTCCATACGGTCGCTGAACGCGTCTTGGATTCGGATTACATAGTGTGTAGTGAATGTACCCATGCGCGTGTTACAACAAAATGTAAAACTTATTGCGTTGTCACGTGGATGATTTGCGTCTTGGTGATTTATTCGAAGATCACGTCATCTGTTCCAACACGTATTGGAATCGAACTACGTACTATCACTAGACACGTCTTCAAATCAGACTCTGCACCATAGCTAGGCACACTATGACACTATTATATCTCATAAGAGCACGAGACATGAGTTCAGATTATGGACGAGACATTAAAACAAGTAATATTATCTCTAGTACACCACGTCCTGTTACTATTAGTAAAACCAACCAAAATTTTCTTATTGCTATTCTTAGTAAAACCTGTCATGACTCTAATGCTCAGATGAGTGGAGGGATAGAAAGATCGAGAGAGAGATTGACAATCAAAAATTGGGAGAAGAAAATTTCTCTTTTTAATATTGGAGTAGCAAACATACTAGTGTGTTGCATCGGAACGTAACTTCATGCACAGTCATCTGGCCAATTTGCGGTTCAGAAATTTATGTAACAACTGCATCATCTATTCTAATATGTCTTGAAATCGAACTATGTACTGTGCATGCCTACATGTATGTGTGCTGCTCTAGCTCATTGGGGGTACAAAAGTTTTAGAGATTTATCGATGATTGCATCATGCGTTTCAATTTACTTTGGGACCAAACTCTTCACCATAGCGGCCTGAACAATCTACTTTAACTCATATGGGCACAGGAGAGTGGCTTACCATGCAACACTCTGTATTCTAATTCGCTTTGAAATTGAACTCTACCGCATGCTCGGACACTCTACACTAACTCATATGAGGACGGGAGAGATCATGTCCATCATATCCCATTAGACAATTATGAGCGACGACGGATCAAGAAACCTTCCTCTTTTTAATATATATTATAGGAAGAGAAGAGATAGAGATTCCTCTTTTTAATATTAGGATAGGAAGAGAAGAGAAGAGATAGAGATAGGGATGTAGAGTCGTAGAGATATAAAGATGATAGAGATTAATATGAGGTAGAGATATAACTAGGCAATTTTGTGTCTACCTTAATTTTTGGAAGAGTAAAATACATTAGCAGCACTAGTCTAGACGGGTTACTTCCTGTGTCTGTTTAGATAGCGCTCTATGCCCTTGGTCCAGTGGTGTTAGGACAACACTATACAACAGAGCCTTGAAGTATGGATCCGGCCACCGCCAAAGCCGAGGGCAAGGGGCCCTGCTCGCCCATGTCCAGTCGCCATCGTCGTTGGCTGTGACCAAGCTCGGCAAGCGTGTAGAGAAGAGGAGGGAGCATGCAGAGGCTAGTCGCCACCACTTGGTCATGGCGGCGGTGCTAATTCTTCTGTTCGGAGGCACTCCAACTGTTATTGGTGGGCTGTTGTTGGTGCTAGCGCTCGGGTTGTGGTGGCACAAGACAAAGTGGTAGCAACACTGGGGGGATGGGATGGCGATGAGAGAGAGGGATGACATGTGAGCCCTACATGTCAGGTACATAATCAATAGCCATGTTGGTGGATTATCACAAATAATGGTAATTTGAATCTTGTGTGACCTAATTAACAAGTTTAGGAACCTAGATTTGTAATTTTGGAAATTAGGGACCTAGATGACACCGTCTTACAAGTTTAGTTACCTCATATGATCCATTTAGCAAGTTTGGGAAGCTGTATATATGTAAATTTAGAAGTTTAAGACCTAGATAACACTGACGTACAAGTTTAGGTACTAGATCTAATATGCTAAATTCACATCAATGCTGAATCTGCATATCACATAGGCATATGGAGCGAATGGAAACTTATAGATGGACAAACAGGCAGATGGGCCGGCATGGGCATGGCCCGAAAAAGCTAAGAGAGTACAAAAATATCCCAAACCCTAGCTCCCAAATAATGGTTCCTTTTACCGCCTTCTCTTACCAATATGCGTACGCGCTCCCTCTCGCGCAACAGCCATGACTCCCTCTCATGGGACGCTGGCTCCCTCTCACACGACGTCAGGCGGTGCGATGACCTTGACCATGGAGATGGGCTCCCTCTCGACCGTGGAGCTAACTGGGCTCCCTCGCGCGGCGGGTCGATGCCTCGGTGCGGAGAGCTAAGGCTCCCTCTCGACGACGCGACGGCGGGGAGACGAGTTCGACACGGCATCGCGGTGGCACCACGGCCTCAACGTGTGAGGCGCAGCCGCAGCGATGACGGTTAGTGTCGTGCCTAAGCCGAGGGTTGGGTACGTGAAAGGTCCTAATATGGCTAGAGGGGGGGGTGAATAGCCTATTTGAAATTCTACAAATCAACTAGAGCAATTTGATTAGTAAGACAAATAGCGAAATGCAAACTTGCTCTAGCTCTACGAGGGTTGCAAGGCACCTATCCAACAATTCTAGTTGCAATGATTACTAGACACACAACTTGCTATGATACTACTCACTAAGAGCTCTCAATCTTTATACACTAAGGAGCTCCACTAGATGAACTTAAATAGCAAATCAAGCTCTCAATTCTAATTACACTAAAGAGCTTGTCACCACTAGTTTGCAAGAATATAAAAGAGTGAGTAGGGTGATTATACCACCGTGTAGAGGGATGAACCAATCAAAAGATGAATATGAAATCAATCACCGAGAGAATGCCAAATGGCAAGAGACAACCGATTTTCTCTCAAGGTTCACGTGCTTGCCAACACGCTACGTCCCCGTTGTGTCGACCAACACTTGGTGGTTCGGCGGCTAAGAGGTGTTGCACAAACCTCGTCCACATGATTGGACACCGCAAGAACCTACTCACAAGTGAGGTAACTCAATGACACGAGCAATCCACTAGAGTTACCTTTCGGCGCTCCGCCAGAGAAGGTACAAATCCCCTCACAATCACCGGAGATGGCCACGAACAATCACCAACTCGTGCCAATCCTCCACCGCTGCACCAAGCTGTCTAGGTGGTGGCAACCACCAAGAGCAACAAAAGAAATCCATAGCAAAACACGAATACCAAGTGCCTCTAAATGCAACCACTCAAGCAATGCACTTGGATTCTCTCCCAATCTCACAAAGATGATGAATCAATGATGGAGATGAGTGGGAGGGCTTTGGCTAAGCTCACAAGGTTGTTATGTCAATGAAAATGGCCAAGAGAGTGAGCTTGAGCCGGCCATGGGGCTTAAATAGAAGCCCCCACGAAATAGAGCCGTTGTACCCCTTCACTGGGCACAACACGGGGTGACCGGACGCTCCGGTCAGATCGACCGGACGCAGGACCCCAGCGTCCGGTCGCCCGATGCTTGCCATGTGTCATTGGCTTCAAACGCTGATCGTCCGATCTCAACGGTCAAGTGATGACCGAACGCGTTAGTTAGAAAGTGACCGGACACTGGACCTCAGCGTCCGGTCGTTTCCAGTAAGGTTCCAAACGCGAATTTTCACGATCGGACGCGTCCGGTCATGCCTGACTGGACTCACCCAGCGTCCGGTCACACAACGTCTCCTCTATGCGCCTCACGTCAGCGTACGTCAGCACTGACCGGACGCACCCTGCCAGCGTCCGGTCACTTTTAGCGCCAGCATCCGGTCGAAGACCGAAACACGCGCCCTCTGCTGCCACTGACCGGACGCTCTGGTCCAACCGAAACCAGCGTCCGGTCACTTACAGTGACCTTCGTCTTCTCTGTCTCGGGCGCCGGTGGCACCGTCGGACTATCCGCACTCTACGGGCGGACACTCCGCCGGTAAAGTTTCTAACCCTTGCTCAAATGTGCCAACCACCAAGTGTATCACCTTGTGCAAATGTGTTAGCATATTTTCACAAATGTTTTTAAGGGTGTTAGCACTCCACTAGATCCTAAATGCATATGCAATGAGTTAGAGCATCTAGTGGCACTTTGATAACCGCATTTCGATACGAGTTTCACCCCTCTTAATAGTACGGCTATCGATCCTAAATGTGATCACACTCACTAAGTGTCTCGATCACTAAAACAAAATGGCTCCTACTATTTATACCTTTGCCTTGAGCCTTTTGTTTTTCTCTTTCTTCTTTTCCAAGTTTAAGCATTTGATCATCACCATGCCATCACCATCATCATGATCTTCACCATTGCTTCATCACTTGGAGTAGTGCTACCTATCTCATAATCACTTTGATAAACTAGGTTAGCACTTAAGGTTTCATTAATTAACCAAAACAAAACTAGAGCTTTTAGTACGGCGACCCGACATGGCACGGCTAGAGCGTAGTGTCGAAGAGTGTCGTGCTGAATATCTATAGTGGAAACACGTTTGAACAGTGCTAGAGTCCATGACAAGTTTAGAGACTTGGAACTCAGAAAAACTAAATTTGATATCTGGCTGGCAACCTCTCCCAAATTTAGGGATGATCGTTCAGCTGATGATGGGGCTGATAAGCCGGCTAAAGCTGATTTGTTGTGAGAGAAAAATATTGTACCATGGCTCTTAAGTCAAGCTGATAAGTTGAAGCAAACAGGGCAGTATTCTTTCTAGAATACAGGAG